GGAGATCCCCTTCAGTTTGAATGGCATGTCTTCACTAGACACACTAATTAGAACCCTGGAACATGGAAAGTGTCTGCTTTGATCCTCTTTGTCGCGTAGACAGGGCCACAGGGAGGAAAATATCACTGCACAAATGCAGTTGGAGTTCTATGCTCTAGTCTGTCACTGCTGTAAAGAAAGAATGTAGACAAACTGGAAATGATGCAAAGGCAAAGAACAAGGAGGATCAAAGGAATGGAATGCATGTGAGCCATGGCTGGAGGAACTGGGTATGTTTAGTTTGGCAGAGGAGATTAAAGGAGAACATGAAAGCAATCTTTACATCCTCAAACGGCTGCCATGAAAATAGAAAAACATCAACAGCCACCAAAACCTTGCTCTCTCTTGCCACAGAGGGTAAGACAAGACATAATCAATTCAAACAGCAGCAGATTAGAGATTAAATCTCAGAAAATGTTTCCTAATTATGAGAACAGTAGGACAATGGAACAACCAAACTTAAGAAGTCATGGAATCTCCTTCCCTGGAGATTTTCAACAAGGATACGTCTAAACTACATGGCTCCATCGACGGAGCCATGTAGATTAGTTTACACGAAAAAGGGAAATGAAACTGTGATTTAAATAATCACGAGGCATAAAGGATCTGCCGACAAGGAGTTTTGGGGTTGGCACATCCCCGTCGAGACTGCTGATCAGCTGATCAGCACAGCGTGGTAGCCATTTTGATTTAAATGAAGTGGCGATTATTTAGATTGCAGCTTCATTTGCCTTTGCCATCCTGCCATCTGGCTTTGTTGACAGAGGGTTAGCCTTGCATAGTTTAGGCACAACATATCCTGCCTCCCCATCTTGGCAGGGGGATAGACTAATGGCCACTGAAGTCCCTTCTAATCCTTTGGTTCTATGATTCTATAATTCTATGGGCATAGACTGGTCTGTAGCACCATCCCCTATTACAGGGATGGCCAACCCACGGCTCTTCAAAGGAAAAATTGCGGCTCCCGCACTCGCGGCTCTTCTCATGGTCCCCTGTTCTGACCTTTTTTACTTGTCTCGTCAGGGGCGAGATTTGACACTGTGGCTAACAGAAGCCTGCTTGGGCCACACGCGGCTCTTAAAGGGGCAATGCTTTTTCTTTTGCTCAACAACTTCTTTCCCTTGACTCTTTGCACTGTATCCACCACTATTTTGGCTCTTCGTCTGTAATGGGTTGGCCACCCCTGCCCTATCACTATATGGAAGAGAGTGCCTTGTTTCAGGAGCTTGCTTTTCAGAATTTGTGGAAAAGCTGAGGGGAAATGTGGCATCTTTGACTACTTCTGGGTAGTGGGAAGAGGAGGGGCAGGATCTTGGGGGAAGAGGTGGAGCATGCACAGGGCAAAACAAGGTGGGGTGAGGATGCGTCGCTCATGCCAGGTCCTCTGTTCACCTCCCAGGCTGCCTGTGTCCTCACATCCACCTGAAGTATGGCCCCCCACAAAGTGTGAAGCCTGGGGAAGTTGCCCCAGTCCATCCTATGGACTGGACAACTCTGAAAATATAAGCCCAAATATTGGTGGAGCTGGGCCCACATTGCCGAATATTGGTGGAGCACAGGCACCATGGGTCCATGCAACTCACCGCCTAAGGATTGTGAAGAGGAACACTCATCCCAGCATCACCTCATGGTTAGAGACACAGCAGGCTGTTCTCCTTCCAGGTGCTCCCCTTGCTGTGGACTCTCTGGCCCTGCAATGATGTGTCCCCTCTCTGACTCAGCCCATGAGTCAGGTCTCACATCCATGTCCCTCCTCTGAGGGTATATGTCAAGACTTCAGCATGGGGCAGCCTTCTGGGTTAGGCAAGTGTAGAGGAACCTAAACAGCCGGGTCTTAACCAAAGCAACAATGTCTACTTTACCCAAAGTACAGACCTCTAACAAATCAAAACTCAGGCCTGTCTCAAGTCTGGTGCACGTAGTTTTTGCATAAAGTTTTTGCAAAATCATGAGTATCCTGCAAAGCACCGTGTGATCATACCAAGAAAACTGGGAGTAAACTGGTACATTTTATTTCTGATAAGCAAAAAGCAGAGACAGCCATAAAACTGTTAACCAGGCACATACTTTTGCAACATCCTGAGTAGCAGAATGTATCCCATACGGGTATGATAGGTGTCTTACATACTATGCTGTGTCTAGATTGCATCCCTTTTCCGTAAAAGGGATGCAAATTAGACACATCGTAATTGCAAATGAAGCGGGGATTTAAATCCCCCCTGCTTCATTTGCATAAAAATGGCTGATGCTTTTTTCTGGCTCGGAGCTTTGCCGGAAAAAAGCACCAGTCTAGACGTGGATCTTTCGGAAAATAAAGCTTTTTCCGAAAGATCCCTTATTCCTTATTTTAAGAGGATTAAGGTGTCTTTCGGAAAAAGCTTTATTTTCCGAAAGATCCGCATCTAGACTGGCGCTTTTTTCTGGCAAAGCTCCGAGCTGGAAAAAAGCTGTAGCCATGTTTATGCAAATGAAGCGGGGGGGATTTAAATCCCCGCTTCATTTGCAATTACGATGTGTCTAATTTGCATCCCTTTTACGGAAAAGGGATGCAATCTAGATACAGCCTATGTAATTAATTGGTAGATATTATTAGAACAACCATGTCCTGCTTTGCTTTAAAATGGGCTTAGTAAGAACTGATGGGCAGTAGGGAGCAGGATTGACCCAGGTACTGCTGGTTGTAGCTAGAAGTAAAAGACCCTTCACACTGGCCATGGCAGGGCACAGCATCCCAAAGGGACTACACACTTCCTGCCTGATACTGTAGTTGGAAGATGGGTGAAATGTAAGTGACCTAGGCTTAAATACTATATTATAATACATCTTCTATTAATTGCTTTTGTATTGTTTTGTACTGTACAAATTGTTTTTAAATTTATAGTATTTAAGGCTGAAATGGCCCAGTAATTGTTTTTATGGATAGTAAAACTTAAAGGGCTATATTAACAGCTCGAAGGCTTGCAATACGTAAGGAAGTGGTTGAGTCTAACTGGAGTGTCCTGGTTTCTGTCAGATCTAAAATAAATTGAACCACATGAGAGGAGCACATGGCCCTCTTCCCTATGAGTCAATGCAGGGCTGTCCCTGGTGAGAGTGCAGGGCTGGGACCTAGGCAGGCCCAGCTAAAGAGTTTGCATGGCCCAAGACAGCATGTTGTGGTTGGCTGTACCGCGTGGCTGGGAGGCTCCCAGCCAGGGCAGTGAGCGAGCACAGGACCCTAAAGGCTCAGGGCCCAAGGCAACTGGCTTGCTCACCTTGCTCTAAGGCCGGGCCTGGACCTAGGTGCTGAGTTTCTAATCAGACATGGTGGGGCCTGCTTCTGCCCAGGCCTCACATCCTCTCCACCCCTTTCCCCAAGGACCCACTCCTGCCTCACTTCTTCCTGCCCCATCCAGCCTTCTGCTCCCCCCCTCCCCGAGTGCACTGCACCCTCCATCTTCGTCCCTTCCCACAGCCGTGGAAAACATCTCATCCACAGCAGATTCTGAGAGGAAGGAGGCGGTGCTCATTGGTGGGGCCTGCCGGTGGGCAGGGGGTGCTGGCGGGGAAGAGATTCTTGCAGTGGGGCTGCCGATGGCTTCTTTAGCTGTAGAGCTTGGGGCTTGCTGAAGAATGAGGCTTAGGGGAGGGTCACCCCAATTGGCCATTCCCTATCAACCACTCTGAGGTGTGCTACGGGCTACATAGGGAGTTGCTGCAGTCCACGAAGAGCAGAGGGCTGCCTTAGGGTCGGCATGGTGAACTTCAGGTGTTGCCTCAGGCTGTCCTCTCCCCTTCCACCAGAGGCCCCGCCCCTTATGAGATGTGCTCCCCCCCTCTTTACACAGGGGCCCACAGAGACTGTCAGCACCCTTGCCTCTGGGTCACCCAACAGGAGAGAAACAGGCACAGACTCCTGGTTTACTATGCCCTCACCCAGTGCTCTAACTATTAGGATGCACTGCCTTCCCTCTTCATATAGTAAAACTGATTCTCACACGGTGCTTTAAGTCTCTTCAGGGCTGGTCCCTGCAGGCACCATGGTAAGGGCTGTGATAGCAAGAGATGGGCTTAAACCAGGGGGATATGGTACTAGGAAAAGGAACGGGGTTATGATAAAAATGAGCAGGTTTATAGAGGTCACAATCTTTTGCTGCTGCACAGAAATGAGAAAGGACCTGTAAGTTCAGCTGTTTCTCTCAAGGGGAGGATGCCGTGTGGCTGCCTCAGTTACCCCAGGCTTGAGAATTTAGCCAGGTTTCCAGGAGCCAGGGTCTTTGGCCTTTGTACCGCTATTCTGATTCCTGACAGGGAGCCTGCTGCACAGGGCCATGCCTAGAGGCTCAGGTAAGAAAGAAGGGGGTCTCGTGAGGGGAGGGGGAGGAGATTTGAGAGATGAGTGAAACAGAGAGAGGGCTGGCATGCAGCGGCACAGTGATGTGAGCATTACACACCGTGCAGCCAAGCTGTAACTGAACCCAACCTCTCAGCCAGACACATTTGTTAGAGAAGTAATCTAAAGGTCTGCTGATGGGAGGGACAATTTCCCTGGTGCTCAGCAATTCAAAAGTAGCAACAGTGGCACCTGGATCCCTTGCCCTTTTAAATCGCAGGGGGAGCCCCCATGTGGCATGCTTAGAGAGGCACCTAGGGTTGCCTGGGGTGAGGGGCAGGGCCAAGCCACGCTCTCAAAGCTGATCCGTAGGCTTGCCTGGAGGGGTTGCTACCACCTGGGCAGCACTGAGGGCTGGCTGCTCCCATCCCCGCACCTTCTACCCAAGACCCCATCTCTTCCAGGAACATGGAGCTAGTCCCCTAGCCCCATTGCCCTATTGCCCAAGGGGCTGTCAAGGCTGTTAGCTCTGTGAACTTGCAGCAGTTTATCCCAGTGAGTTTATTTTATTTTATGAAAAAAAGAAGAAAGGAAATTTTAGGGGAAGAAAAGTAACCCCTATAAATCAATCAAAACACTTCCAAGAATGTTTGTAATTCTCCGCTACAGCCAGTTACTTTTATTAAAAGGATAAGAACAAGTTATTATGGGTGATACACGGGCTCCCTTGAAGATATTTTCCAGCTCAAGAAATTCTTTACAGCCCAGGTGGAAAGGATCCAAGGATTTTGGAAAAAAGGCATCATTTCCCAGATAGCCAGAGGTCCGGCATTAACAACTTCTGTCGCCATCATTCACTAGAACTACAAAAAGAGAGGAAACTCTCACATTCTGCATGATAGCCATTAAAACAAGGAAAATATGGCAATGCCTTTCACATCAAAAAACATCACTGACTGTTGAAAGCAGATATTCCTGGTGAACTCAAATGCAGGGGATGAATTGCAATCCTGCAACATTATTTTAGGGACTTTTAATGAAGATAGTCCGGTATATCTAAACTTGCTCCCATCTGGCTTAGCAAATAAACATGCCTGATTTTTGAACATGGATCTGCCTTCCCTTCTCCCCTAGCTCTCTAGTAAAGCAGGCAAAGTCTCGTTTTCTTACAAATGACCTTCCAATTAACATTCGACACACTTAAAGTGACAACCACAACAAATGAGCTTATTACCAAAAAAGTGCCATAGCAAAGTAAACATTAAAACTGCTGGAAATATGATACAAAAATGTCACTGAAATGTTCATCAAAAGTGTAAAATATAAGTCTAAATTTGAAATGCCCTGGAAGGATTTAATCAAAATTGTGAACTTTACAAATCTTGACGATCTCTATGATATACAGAAAAATAAACCAAAAATATATAAGGTGTAGAAGAACATGACTTACTTCCACAGATAGTTTCTCTTTCAAACTCATTTTGAGCATATTTAAAAATAAAAACAATATCAATGTTGTGAGATTGTGGCTTATCGTCTCATCAGACTCAGACAACGCCTCAGTTTCCCTTGTTGGGTGTGTGTGTGACTCAGCTCTAGCTGAACCAGGCCTCTCCTCCCACCTGGGGCAAAACAATGTCAACAGGAAAACTGGGCTAGTGATGCTTCCTCCAGAGCCAAGTGAACATTTCTTCTTTTTAGCTGTTTTCATGTTGGGACACCATTTTCTCCTCTCCTCGGCTCTTCTCTGAGTTCCTCCCAGCTTGCTTTTGCAGACCTCATTTTTCAGCCATTTCTTCTTGTTAAGTTCTGCCCTCCTAGTCTTCTCTGATCTCTTTCTTACCGGAGAGACTCACAATGGGTCCCACCAGCTCCCCTCAGTCTTGTGTCTACATTACAAAGAAAAGTCGCAATTTGCGTCTCTTTTTCAGCTTTTTTCCAAAAGAAGCTTTTCTGACATTCGGCCCTTCTACCTGGGGCCAAATGTCAGAAAAACACTTTCTTTTGGAGCATCCCTTCTTCCTCGTAAAACAAGTTTTACAAAGATGCTGAAAAAAACATGTCTGCTTTTCTGAAATTTATTTTGGAAAAATAGGTGTGTACTTTGGATGCGGCAGAGCTTTTCCAGGATACCTCCAGTACACCAGAAAAGCTCTGTAGTCTAGACATATCCAGAGGCCAGGAAGCCTTCCAAATCCTGAAATGAGATCCAGAAAGGAGACTTGTCCAGAAATGGGCAAGCAGGCGAGAAGGAATTATAATGGAATCAAATTGGCAGCTGTCATGGTGAGTGCTACTACCAAGAAAATTCTGTGATTGAATCTGTCCTCATCTGTTTATTGCCAATATTGTCCTTCTGTCCATGATTATGAGAGTGAAATATACAAATCCTGAACATTTAAAAAAATGTAAGTGTCAGAGGACAACATGTCAATCATTTTAGAGTCACTCAAGCTACATCAGACTACAAGCGTCTTTCGGAAGAAGCTTTTTTTGGAAGAGATCTTCTGAAAAAACTTCTTCCAAAAGACAGCATCCACACTGCAAAAGTGCATCAAAAAAGCAATCTGCTTTTTCGAAAGAGAGTGTCCACACTGAATGGATGCTCTCTCACATGTAAGCTGTGTTTGCTATGGACTGAGTGGCCACCAGGGCACCCGCGCTTTTTCCTTTTTCCTCTTTTTCTGAAAGAACTCCCTCTTCCCCGTCTATACATGCCATTTTGCAAAAGAGCTCTTTCACAAAAAGGCTTCTTCCTCATAGAACGAGGATTACCAATGCCGGAAAAACCCCTCTGTTCTTTTGATTTTCTTGCGAAAGAACATGATTGCGGTGTGGACGTTCCTCGAGTTTTGTCAGAAAAACAGCTGAGACATACCCTCAGTGACTTTATTTAATTATTATTAAATATTTATTCCTCCCTTGCATACTCAAAAATTGTGATCAGCTCACCCCCAATCTTCTCTTTGCTAAGATAAAGAGATTGAGTATGACAGACCCTATGGTCTCTCTCCTCGCTCGTTCTCTCTTTCACACACACACACCACTCAAAACTTATATCCGTTGCTTTTTTGATTATCAAGGATTAACGTTTTAAATGGCAGACCTCTTGCTCTGGTAAGCACTGCACAATGATATCAAGAAGACACATTCCCCATGCTCTCTCCTATGGTCTTTCCTTTTGTCCTGTTTTATTATTTCCTATGCTCTAAAATGAAACAGCTCTGTAGACTTAGGGGTGATTTTGGCTGCAGATCCTATTTATGGACAGAGTGGCCATAAATAGTTGGGATTAGTCCTGCCTAGAGCAGGGGGCTGGACATGATGACCTTCTGAGGTCTTTTCCAGCTCTATGGTTCTATGATTCTATGGCTCTATGTGATGCCAAATTGCCCATACATGGTTCACTTAATTGCCTCTCTGCTATTCTTCATGCAAACACTGGCCTGGGGGTGAAGCTGGGTGTTACTAGGTCTGAGAGGGGCAATCTCTGTATCACTGAGCACTGGAGATTCTGGACAAGTCCTGGGTAAGGCGCCTGTAAACTTATTCATATGTGGCAATCCCAGATAGTTCAGATTCAGGGCAGTATTATAGTCTCCTTTTCCCCATGTGCTAGGGAAGTGCCCTGTGTTCTAAGCCTACAAGGTCAGGAAACAGCAACTGTAGAAAAGAGAGACATAAATGTTCCGTTTACACAGAGATGTCTGCCTTATGGAATCTGGAACTTACCTTCCTTCTACAGCAAGGGATACCAATAGCGCACACTCCAATCTGTACAGAAGGCCAGCGGCATGCAGGGGAGCAGAATTCTCTCCGACCTATACAATATCTGGGATCACTCCGGCCTAAACAGAGAGAAAACAATCTTGATTTTTATTCCCACAGCAGAGCATCTTCAGTTGTTCCAATGGTTCATTACTGTCACTGTTCAAAATGTTCGCCTTCTTCCCAGTCAGAATTTGTCTAGCTTCAATATAAAACTATTGGATCACTTAGTACTTTTATTTACTAGATTGAAGAGCCTATTATAAAACATTTATCCCTTGCTTGCATACTCAGACACTGTGATCAACTCACCCCCTAACCTTCTCTTTGCTAAGCTAAAGAGATTGAGTTTTCTGAGTCTATCACTGTAAGCCTTGTCTTCTAATCCTTTATTTGTTCCTGTGGCTTTTCTCTCAACCCTCTCCAATTTGTCAACATCCTCTCTGATGTGCGGACACCAGACCTGGACACAATGTTTAAGAAGTGGTCACAACTGGAGGTGACAACTAGAGAAATAAAATAACCTCTCTGTTCCTATTTGAGATTCTCCTCTGTACATATGCAAGGATTTTGCATTAACCCTTTTAGCCACAGGTTTGCACTGGAAGCTCACTTTCAACTCATTGTCCACCCACAATCCTCAAATCTGGTGTTTCAGGGTCACTGCTTCCCAGAATGGAGTCAGTCTGTCCTATGGCTATAGTAGAGCTTTGTTCCTAGGTCTATATATTTATATCTAGCTGCATGATTGTTCACTTTTGCCCAGCTTACCACGTGATACAAAGTTCTCTGCATCAGTGACCCGCCCTTAATTTTTGACACCTGCAAATGTAACGCTGACAGGTGGAACAGAACCTGGGAACTCTGGAGCTTAGTGTATGAACTTCCATGCATGAGCTAAAAGCCTGCTGGCTCTCAGCTAAGGCTGTGTAGAAGACACATTATTGTCCCTGTAAGTGGTCTAAGTGCCACTAGATGAGCCAGTGAATTAACCCAGTAAATATGTGGGTTACACAAAATTTAAAGGTGATGATTTTATGCTTTCTTTCAAGCCCTTGAGAAAAATATTGACTAGCAAGAACCAGTCCCTGTTGGGGATCCTACTACAGGTCATACCTCAGTCAAATCTGAATGGATCCTAATAGGCACTTTAAAGTGCTTTTCTGATCCCAGGACTATTTTCCAACTAAATATCAAGTCTCTTCTACACACCATAAAAAAAAACTTAAGAAGAAAAAAGCTTCTATATTGTCCCTTCATTTTATTATGATCTTACCTGCAGAGCTTTGCAGCACCAGGAAGAAAACAGCAAAGAGAAGGTAAAGAATCCTCATAGCTGAAGTTTTCCTGGGATCTTATTGCTGCCAGAAAGAAGAGACTGGTAGATAGACAGGAGAAGGAGAGTATTTATGGACTGCTGGGGATTGTGAAATGCTGAACTGTTGAAATCTTGTTTTGAAACAGTTCGCATTTAACAAGTTTATGGTGCAATCTGTTATTAACAATTATTATAATATGTACATTAAAAAACTTGTGAAAAATTTCAGGGAAATAGTCGACAAGTCCCTGCCTAGAGGAAGTTCCGGTATGAATCTAGCAAATGTTTCCCACCCAGTCAAAACTTCACAGAAGAGTATGGAATGCCTCCCATTAAATTTAAATGAGGGTCCTTGTGCATCAAATAATTCCAGAACACAGCTGTACCTGGGAACTATTGGCTCTAGGGTGTGTGTATTTGTGTATTTGTTTTGTATAATATTAATCAGTATGGGTATGCCTATACTACCACCGTAGTTCGAACTAGGGTGGTAGTGTAGACATACCCTATAATATTAATCTAGCCCTCTAAACAGCAGGGCTAGATTTGAAATAAACTACGCTACTTGAGCTACGCTAATTGCGTAGCTTAAGTTGAAACAGCTTATTTCGAATTTGGGCACATCTAGGGTATGTCTAGACTAGACCTCATTTTTTGAGGAAGAAGGGTTCTTTTGAAAAAGGTTTTTTTTTTTTTCTGAAAGAACCGCATCTAAACTACCTTCACTTTTGAAAAAAAATCACTGTAAAAAAGTGAGTGGAAGAAGATATGCAAATTAGCACCAAATTTGCATATCTCCTTCTGAAAAATAAACGTAGTCTAGATGTGCCCCTACACATATTCTGAAATAGAGCACTCTTCCTCCGACTTCCCTTACTCCTTGTACAATGAGGTTTATAGAAGCTGGAGCAAGAAGCCGGTTATTTTGAATTTATTTAGAAATAACGGGCTTGCTATATAGAACCCAGCGGTAGTGTAGACGCAGGTATAGTTTTGTCGACAAAAGTCCACTTTTGTCGACAAAACCCTGTAGTCTAAACACACCCTTTGTCATCTGCTATACCCCCTCCAGTGGTTCCCAACTTTTTGGCATCGCGCTCCCCCTTTTTGATTTTTGAGAAACCCTCACACCCCCCCCCACAAAAAAAAAATAGCAGCAAAACTTGGGGAATAATGCCTTTTGTCGACAGAGTTCTGTCGACAGGAGGCGTTATTGCATCTACACTGTCCTTTACGTCTACATTCTCATGTCAACAAAGCAGCTTGCTTTGTCAACAGAACTGGATATAGTCTAGACGCTCTTTGTCAACAGAAGCTTTGTTGACAGTATCTGTCGACAAAGCCTCTGTCGACAAAAGCTTGTAGTCTAGACATGCCCAAAGTGAAGAAGAATCAACAATGTGATGTAGTTGCAAAAAGGTTAATATCCTTCTGGGAGGTATTCGGCACCGATTGTATGTAAGACATGGGACAAAATTGCCCCACTCTACTGAACACTGGGAAGGTCCCTGCTGGTGTGCAGTTCTGGAGACCACACTTCAGGATGAGGTGGACAAATTGGAAAGTTTCCAGAGGGGAGCAGCTAAAATGTCAAAGGATGAGAAAACCCAACCCTGTGAATGTGTAGTCTGCTGGAAAGAAGACTGACGGGGGCCTGAGAACAGCCTCCAAATATGGAAAGGGTTGTTATAAAGATGATAAAGACTGTTTGATTTTTAGGTCCACTGAAGGTTGTGCAAGAAATAATTAAATTTTAGCAAGAGGGATTTAGGGGAGTGTAACAGGGTGGGCCTCATCACCAAGAGCGCCTCCTGCTGGTCACTCAGGTAATTAGCCTTTTTGGTGCTAGAATGCCCCCTTCTGGCTGATATTTCATCCACTGTTACTTGTTATTCTCCCCCACTCTAGGTCAGGGCCCACGTCTCTCTCAGACCATGGCACCCTCCTACCAGGGTATTGCCCTGCCATAGTGCCCTCACACTTTGGAGTCCTCCCCTTCTGGGGACCCCCAATTCCCCTATGTCCACCTTGCCTCAGTGACCCTCTGCCAGTTGTCATCTAGCCCCTGCCACAGGGGCAAACTGCAATGGGAAATGGCCATTCCTCATTTGCAAAGGGATGTGGACCTGCTGCTTTTGCCTATCCTGGCTGCCTCCCTGAAGCCCTAGTACCTTCAGGTCTTGCTTCAGGCCCTGCAGCCTGGGAGCTTGCCTGGCCAGAGCTTCCCCAGCCTGACTTCCCCAACCCTGTTCTAAATCAGGAAGCTTCCAGCTTCCCTGACAGCCAGGTCCCTCTTGCTCCCCAGTCGGAGCAAGAGTGTCTCTCCCTTCCATCCTCCTGGAGCCCTTATTTATACAGCCCATAGCAGGGCCCTAACTGGAAGCTATCTGCTTGCTCTATGGCTCCAGCCCTTACCTAGGGCTGGGTTTTAACCCCTTAAAGGGCCAGTGTGGGGCAGATGCCCTGTCACAGGGAGATATAAGCAAAACTTTCTAATTAAAAGGGCAATTAGACTGTGTAAGGTGGTTCCCAGAGACGTTGTTGAATCCCTGTCACTGGAAGTTTTAAGAACAGGGTGGGAGAACACTTGTCAAGTATGGTCTACGTTTACTTGGTCCAGCCCCCACATAGAGGGCTGGGCTGGATCACCCTTGGTGGTCCCAGTCAGCCCTACCTTTCTACCACTGTTATTCTAACAGACTTCACATAAAGGCTGTGTCTAGACTGCACCCCTTTTGCGGAAAAGGGATGCAGATTAGGTACATCGCAATTGCAAATGAAGCGGGGATTTAAATCTTCCCCGCTTCATTTGCATGAACATGGCTGCCGCTTTTTTCCGGCTTGGGGCTTTGCCAGTAAAAAGCACCAGTCTAGACGAGGATCTTTCGGAAAATAAAGCCTTTTCCGAAAGATCCCTTATTCCTCTTAAAATCAGGAATAAGGGATCTTTCGGAAAAGGCTTTATTTTCTGAAAGATCCCCGTCTAGATTGGCGCTTTTTGCCGGCAAAGCCCCCGAGTCGGAAAAAAGCAGCCATGTTCATGCAAATGAAGCGGGGAAGATTTAAATCCCCACTTCATTTGCAATTGCGATGTGTCTAATCTGCATCCCTTTTCCGCAAAAGGGGTGCAGTCTAGACACAGCCAAAGAGTCTCTCCTGACTTCAAAATTTGATCTTTCTGCAGCTGCCCTAAGTGCTGGCAAAGAAATTGCCACATGGGCAATGACCCAACATCCTATCAAGTTGGTCAAAGATCACAATGTGGGGAGGGCGATGGGAAGTGTCCTGCAGAAGTAAGTTGCTGACTGGAGCTAACCCAATTCGTTATATGTCCCAAGACATTTTGCACAAACCACTGTGGCCTAACGGGTCTGGGATGGCACAAGAGGGGTTGGCACAAGATGCAAGAATTTATTGTGGGTGGACATTTCAAATCTTCACTAGAACCGTGGCTCCTTTTCTGACTGGCTCCCAGCAGTTTTGCCAAGAAGAAACCGATCTTTAGAGTGTGTATAAAATGGACTGTTTTGGTCATAGTGACAGTCCCTGAAGTTAAAATATCTGTTGGTGAGAGATAGCAAGTGGGACTATTGTGTGGCTACTAAGAACCATCCCTTACCCCACCCCCAATGTGGCAACTGCTCAAGTCACATCTCAAATAATCCCCATTAGCGAAGAAACAGGAGACCCATGTGTGGATGCGGTAAATGGAACTGCTTTATTGCCTATGCATGTTAACCTTGGACTCCGAACACATCATTCCTAGTGGCAACAATGTGGCACCAATTACATCCTTTTATCTATTTTAGTATGTTAATTCACAGTCTATCACTACTTTCCCTAAAACCTTATTTGGTATGTTAACTCCCATCCCATGAATATTAACAGGCAGGTGATGAATATTATTATACCCACCCTAATTACTATTTACAACACTTCTAATTAAATCAACACTTTTCTACGCTACAAACTTTCTGAATCAACAGGTTACAGAGATTACAAGAAAAGTAACCCTGAAATATTTTATACAGGCCAGTAAGTAAAAGACACAACAAAGAAGAGCAGCTGCATGCTTATCTATCTTTCTAGGCTGCAAAAATGAAGGGGAAAAGCATATTTATACATCAGAAAGGATAATACCTGCTTTGGTCGGATTCTTAATCTATCTTTCTAAACTGCAGAAACAAAAGGAAAAAAACATGTTTAAAGGCAATGCTAATTGTGGCTGACCCCTTACCACTATCCCAGACCCCTAATAATTTTTTATATATCCCAACACTCCCCATTAACTCTTCCTTTAAAGTTTGATCTACGGTGATGCCTGTGAAATCCAGAAAGGGAAGACTGACACAGCTTTAATAACTTCTGGGTCAATGAACTCCCTGAATTACCATTCTAGCTGTTTTAAGAAACCACTCAGGACTCCAGTGAAGCTATGCTGGAGAACAATCCATCCCATCAGTTTTAAAATATAAGTCCCAGGAATGCATGCATTTTAGTTATCCAAATGAAAACATAGTTATTTTAGAGCTGCTTGAGTTCACAGATAATTCCAGTTGTCCAGATTCCCTTTAGGCAAAAATCCTAGGTATCTTATTGCAGTGAGTGTCCTCAGTAGAGCTGTGCCAATTAATCACCAAGGCTACGTCTAGACTGCAAGCCTCTTTCGAAAAAGAGCATCTAGGAACAGCTCTGGGAAGATTTAAACATGTAACATTTTTCTTTTATTTATGTAAGCAGGGGCTGAACTACTGCTTGTTATCAGCCAGCTAAAAGGAGAGGGCTGCCCTGAGCATGGGTGTGCTCACTCCAATTGTTTAGCTTTGCAAGATAATTAACTGTTGATATGTAAATACAGCTCATGCCAGGAGGGGGAAGGAATCTGAGGTGTGGTTATGTAAATCCAATTCAGCCAGGGCTGATGGAGGATCCGTTGTTAGAATGGAATGTGATGTATTGTATCTAATTTGGGCTGTGGTGGGGGTCACAAGTCATGCTACCCCTAAATGTG